CAGAGCCCGTGTCTGGCTGACTTCTGCAGAGAAGCCTGTAAGGACCAAAAGGAAGAAGCCACCGCCCCGGGACAGAGGGGACCCCGGGGGACCCACTGATGATGACCCTGCCTCTGGGGGCCACCCCTCAGGCTCGCTCAGGTACCGCGGGTCCCGGCTCATTGCCTGTGGGCACGTATTGACCCCCAATGTCTGGGCGGGAGGAGCAAGACCTCTCTCGGGGGTCCCCTGAGGGCCCGAGAAATGATGGACGACAGGGGAAGTGTTGGTGTTACTGTTACTGCTGTTATCAGGGACCAGTTGGGCCAGATCGGCCCTGACCTCCCTCCATGTCCAATCAGCCTCACCCGGGCCCCCTGCTGGCCACAGACACTTTGGGGTTTGCCTCAGGGTGGATCTGCACTGGGCCCTCAGTCCTCTGAGCACCCGGGACACTCAGATGGCCTCCCACCAAACAGGAATACAGGAGTTTTGCTTGTTTCTTAATGACCCAGGTCAAAATGAGAATTGTCTCACTTGCCTGTCGCTGCCCTGCCTCTGATCAGATTGGGTGAGATACTGCATCCCGACATGTGGACTCCAGGTTCTGACTGGCTGCCTTTCTTCCATGTTTTACGCAGCAAAAGGCTGAGCCAGCAAGAAAGCGAAGTCGGTGACGGTGACAACTCCAAGAAGATGCTCAAGAAAAGGAGCCATCTGTAGCTGAAGGGCCTTGGGCCAGAGGCGGGGGAGCCGGTCTGAACGCCCCCGCCCCCTCCCCGCAGAGTAAGAGATGGAGGAGGCACCAGCCACCTGGGGGACGGGGGGGGGGGGGGTCCCCTCTGCCTTACAGGCTTGGGGTCAGGGGGATGCAGGATGGATGGAGAAGTGCCAGGAGTGCCGAGCATGGCACACCCCGCCGCCCGAGAAAATCGGAAACCCCAGTGGGTTTCATCTTTGTGAGTTGTAGCTCCTTTGGCTTCGAGACATGGCTCCATTCCTCCAGGACTCTTCCTTCCTGGCTCTTGGTACCCCCACTTCCCCAGTGGGAGGTGGTCTCCTGGCAGCCTTGGGGCCCCTCTGCTCTCCAGCCTCTCGGAAAAGATCTGCTTGGTAGTGAAGGGTCTCCAGACACTACTAGTGTTTTCTGGGCCTGAGACCTTTTTTCTGCCATTTGTGTCACCCCGCCCTCTCTCTCTCTCCCATGCACCGTGGCCTTTGGCTGCCATAGTATTCTCGTCAGGACCCTTCCCTGCCTTTGGCTTGGCCAGCGGCTAAGCCCTGGTCACTATCGACGGTCTGAGTCTCCCGGCCCCGTGATCCTGACACAGGCCACCCTGGGGCCTGAGGACCCACAGCTGCACCATGAGACCTGCAGTGGTGTCTTCTGTTCGAATCACTTATAGTGCTTGGAAGGAGGCCCCGCGCAGGCCTTGGACTCCACCAGGAGGGGATGAGCTCTTCTGCCAGGCAGCAGCCCAGCCCCAAGGAGAAATGTCCCTGGGGCCACTGCTTCTCCCAATGGATGTTGAGAACGTCCAGAAGCTTCCAGACCAGCGGCACATAAACGACTGCCAGGAAAGGCTTTTCCTACCCGGAAAGAATTGCCCTTTTCATCTAAATAAGGGGTTCTCAACCTTGGCACTATGGACACTGGGTGAGATCATCCTTTGGGGGTGGGCACCGTCCTGTGCACTGAAGGCTGTTTAGCAGCATCCCTGGCCTCCACCCACCAGACGCTGGAGTGCTCCCCGGTTGTGACACCAAAAATGTCCCCTGGGGCCATCACCCACTGACCCAAGTCAAAGTGTGCTGGCCTCCAGCAAGTCCAGGACGGAGAACTCAGTGTTTCCATGAATTCCCACAACACGGTGGGCTCTAGGCTCTGGGAGCCACGTCTTGGGGACTTTCTGGACCATTTGTGCCCTGAATTTTTACTTCTTAAAACCTAAATTAGCCTCTCTTAGGAAGGAGTGGCTCCTTAACAGAAGTAATCTGTAATAGTTATATCTTTTGATAAAGATGCTTAACTCTCAGAGCATCTTCAATTCCTGACTGGCCAACAGTAGGATTTCCAACGTTGGCCAACGGCTCCCTCTGGTGGCGAAATGAAACATTTCCTTCATCCTTGTAACAAGGCCGTGGCTTCCTGCCCGCACTGTGTTCAGAGCCTGGTTTGCATAGAAATCGCTTTGTCACGTGGCCCTCTGCACAGAAGGGTGCTGGAGACAGATGTGGGGAATTCTACGTTGGGAATGTCTGATCTGTGACGTGAGTATGGTTAACGCAGATGCCCGGGCAGCACCAGGATGTCTGGAAGGTGGCAGGTGTCCAGCCTCGGTCTCACTGGCTGCGTCAGCCTTCGCCAGTCTTGCGTGGATAATCGCTTTGCTCCTTGAGGGTAACTTCCTTAGCCCACGGGACCATGTCCCTTGTCACAGGCCGCGGGACCCCTTCCCACACTCGCCGCCCAATGACTGTGCTTGGCAGTTTGGGGTATGTCATTCTCAACAAAGACAGCTGTCTGTTTCTGTTTTCATCACATCACAATTTGACTCTTCTGACTACAAGTGGGAGCTGAGAGGTGACTTTCCTAATGGAACTGCCTCCCTGATCAAGATAAATCGTGGACAGCTGGAAGCCGCGGGACGCAGTGGCCGGCGCGGGCTCCGGACGCCTGGACGCGGATAAGGGCGTTCAGGCCTGGTGCTGAGCCGCGTGAACACAGCCCACCCAGAGCCGGGGAGAGGAGGACCAGGGAGACGCACCTCCACCGCCCTCCCTCCACTTGGGTTACGGTCCCCAGCTCTTGTTACGGGCTGTGGTGGTTATGGTGATGGAGCAGGTGGAACTGTAAGGATCCTGAGTGATGCTGTAACACGGAGTTTAGTGAATCAGTTCTTTTACGCAAACTTACCCTCTGATCTGAGCTTGAGCTGCTAGGATGTAGCCATTAGGGTTAATCAGGTCCACAGACTCTCCCGGGAGTCCTCCAGTCAGCCTGAGTCTCTCGTCCTTAGTACTTCTGGTGCCGATCTTGCTGCTGCTGCCCCCCCCTCTTGCCTCCTGCCCTGCCTCATCCTCCTCTAATCTGTCTACACTTTCTAAGACACAAACCAGACTGATACTCTTCAGTGGTATTCCCTTGCTCTTAGGAGAAAAAGCAAAATCTTTAACATGGACCACGGGGTCCTGTGAGGTCTGGTATCAGCCACCCCCCTTCAGCCCAGCGGCTGCCCTCACCCTCACCCAGCACCCAGCCTCTCTGTCTCCTGCCATGGCTTCCTACGTGCCACACCCCTGCCTACCCCGGGGCCTTCGCACATGACATTCATTCTGCCTGCAACACCCCTGCCTCCTCCCATCCTCTTTGCCTCCTTAGCTCCCAGCTGTTGTTCACATCTCAACAGCAGGGCTCACGTCTTCGAGAGCCTTCCCTGTTCCCCCTCCCCAGACAAGACCAGACTCTCCTCTTATGCTCTTAGCACCTTATATTTTGCTGCTGGGGTGGGGAGAGGGTTAAATAACATTCCTTTATTCCCCGTTTGGAACCAGTTGAGATACAGGCAAAGCCGTCAGCCAGCCAGAGACCTGCATATCAGCTTTATGACTGATGAAGCCACAGAGAAGGGCTCTGTGGCCACAAGGGCTTGCTCGGGTCTTCCCCCTAAAGTAAACTCACCACCCCACCACACGGACGAGGCCCAGTTCCAAGCCTCCACTGTGGGCGCACCCCTGAGACGCTGCACGGGAGGAGGGGCGGGAAGCCCAGATGGGGGTGGGGGCTTGTACACTAGGGAGGGGAGCCTCACAAAAAGCAAATAAAATTACAAAAGGTATTTAGAGTCAGAGAGGAGATCAGAACAAATGATATATTTTAAAAACCAGATGAATTCCACAAAATCACAAATCCAAAAATAAGATAATTGTTTAAGTCGATGAATTGCCTAACCCACCCCTGTAATACTTTGTTCAAATGTTATTCCACACGTCTGACGGCTGGGAGAGTCTGCTCGGACTAGCTTCTGGCTCTGCACGCTTACTTCAGCACTCGCTCTCCCCGACGCCGTGCACTTCTGGTGCTGGGCGCCATGGGACACGTCTGTGTCGTCACCTCCGGCCAGCGCACTGTGTCACGATGCAGGTGTGTTAGCGCAGTGTGGCCATTTGTGCCCGGGCTGGCTACACACACGAACATCCCCACTGAACCCAGCTCAGCCTGCCCTAATCCAGATCCAGAAATGCCCTTGGCCCCCCAGGGTCACCTGATATGCGGGGACATGAGAGTGAGCGGAAAGAGTGAGCTTAACCGATGCAGTTAAATACCAGACTGCGGTAAACTGTTCAGAAAAGCAAGGCCGTGGATACATCGCTAAGAGCCCTCCACCAGCCTGGGGCCTGGGGACGGGTCTGTGCACATGAGGGGCCCGAAGCTTGCACGTCATTAACTTCACGGTAAATCCTTGTTCAGGGACGTGTTCCTGAGGCCAGTCGTCTCCGTGGAGAGAAGAAAGGACACCCCGTAGCTGCTCAGCTCCTCCCCGGACTGAGCAGTTGGGTGCCTCTCCTCCCCTGGGGAAGAGTGAGTTATAGTCACCGTCATCACTACTGACAGCTGATCGAGACAAGCGGCTGGCCCTGAGGTTTCCTCCTCCTTAGAAGGTACATCTGCTGATGGCACCGGAGGGAAGGAATGTGAAGCTGAGGAGTTCGGCGCTTCCAGCTCGAGGCGGTCTGACCTACATAACCCACAAGAGGAGGGAGGGGGCACGCCCAGGAGGTGCCGGGCAGGCGGGAGTGGACCTGTGATTTCAACCTATTTCACAGGAGCCCGTGGCCGGCTGAGGTCCTCTCATCCATGTCTCGGGCTGGGGACCTGACACTGGCTCCCTGCTCCGGCCTTGGCCTCCCCAGCTGTCTACGGGGAGTGAGCACCTCCATCCTTATTATGAGGAGCGCCAACCACCTGCACCCACCCAACCGGCCACCGCTTAAATAGAAACTCCTCAGTCAAGCCAGTGGGCCATTTATGTTCTTTATTTTCTCACAAGCTTTGAATTCAGAAATAAGAGCCACAATAAGTCAGTTGTTAAGTAAAAATGGGGGTGATTACAAAGAAAAACTTTGTACAAAACTTTAAAAATCTGACTGCCCCATCAGCCACCTCGGAGGGACCAGGACTCGGGCAGCCCGGGGGCGACCGTCGCCCCACCATCATCAGCCTTGAATGGGGCTGGGAGACCCCTTTCTGAGTGTGAACCTGGCTCGGCCAGAAGCCCGGAGTGGCCGGAAGGACGCACACAGACCAGAAAGATGGCATGGCAACTTACAAGTGCCACAGAGACCAGGGTTTCTGACACAGGACGTGGATGATGTCTCTGCGAGCAGTGGAAGGGCCCCCCGCCTCTGAGAATTCACAGAAGGTCTCAGTGGGGTGGGATGGGGCAGGCTTCTTTCTAGCGTAGACTTGGGATGGAGGCAACGAGTAAACATCTTTGTGGTAAGAGTTCTGGAATTGCCCCTGAGGGCTTGAGGTCTTGGCATCGTGTCTACGTCGGTCCTCGGCGATGTTCCGTCAGACGCACTCACAGACTTGCATACAGAATTTAGTAACATGCATCGCCTATCCTAGAACAGCTACAAGGGTGCAAAGGAGCCACTCGGAGAGCCATGGGGCCGCGAGTCGGCAGTGGAAGGGACAGCACAAGACGACGCTAGAACCTGTGCTCACTAAGTAGGGAGTGAAGACACCATGCTGTGAGATGCAATCAGCATGAACACACAACTGTGGGGCAAGGAGTGCCAAGCAAACACACCACACTAGTACCACTTCTTCCTAAACAAAAAAGGAAAGAACATCATTCAGTTTTCCCCCCATCAGTACCAAATAAAACTGCGGGTTTCAACAACACTGACAGGGAAAGGAATGGACAGTATTCCCAGAATCCTTCACTCTAGCTCATCCACGCGGCCGCCTTCAGCCGAGGCTGGTGATGTTGGAGCGGCCGCCAGGGGGCGCCACGATGCGGTGGCCGGTGCGCCTGGGATTGTTGTCATCTATCTGGGCACCTGGAAGAGACAGAGCCAGTCACTTCCGACGCCAGCTCCACACGCTGCTCCTGAGGGCGGGGTGCTCCCCCGGGATCCCCCGCTGGGCGTTCGTCCTGACATGCCCTCCGTCCTCTCCAGCCTGGGCACTCAGGCCAGGCTCACCTCTGGGAGGCTCCCCATCCTCCGTGGGCTTCACCGCTCTCTCCTCCTTGCCCCTCAGGCCCTGGGGTCACCCTCTTACGGTCCTGACCACCCGGCCCTCTTTCTCCTCTGGCTTCCCCAGTAGAAGTTCACGTTCTTGAGACAGGTGGGCAAGCACTTATTGAGTGTCTACTGTGTGCAGCCACAGACTTGGTGCTTTAACACGTGTTGTTGCGTTTAGAGCACACGATACCGCGATGGAGGCGGTTTTACTCCCAGTTTACAGATGAGGAATCTGAGGCTCGGGTTACGCTCCTCGGGGGTCACACCTGGAGGGCCGGGAAGCCAGGATTCCAGCACCAAGAGGTTTGTCTCCAGAGCCCACACTCCTGCCGCACAGTCAGAACAAGACTCAGCACGGTGCCCGGTGCTCCAGAGTCCTTTCTGTATGCTGTGCATGGAGCGCATGCATGTGCACCTGTGTGTGTGCATGCGTGTGCATGCGCGTGTTCCTGTGTGTGAACCACTCAGAGCTGAAGTCACTCACCTCATTTGCAATGAACAGATCTGCATGGGGGAGGGGGAGCATTTTTTGTTTTAAGTCTGCATTTTGTTTAAATCTGTAAAGCCATCCATTCTAATCTTATGCATTCTCTTGCAGTTAAATAAAGACTTAAAATACCAGGCCCAGTGCCTGGCGCTCAGTAAACGTGTATTAAACGCCTCAATAGTGAATGATGGATAATGCGGAAAGGAGGGCTGAGTGGGGCAGGAGCTAGAATCCAATCGGGAGACCTGGGTTCCAGTACAGATGGGGCCTGGGCTTTGGATAATGTCCTTCCTCAGCCTCACTTCCTTTTCCATAAACTAAGAGGGGACTCGAGGAGGCCCTGCCACCTCTGACATCATAGGATCTGTGGAACCACAAGTGTGGTTTAGACGCCGACCCTGACTGCCTCTCGTTGTTTCATAGTAGACAATGTGTCTTCCTGGTAATTCAGGGATCTCCTAAAGACCCAGACATCAGAAACCAGGCCAAGCGCTTAACACCTTCTCCTCTCATAATCGCCTGCACCCTGCCGGTCACAAATCAGGGACTTTGAAGATACCGCTGGACAGGTGGCCCTCGTTCAGTAAGTCATGCCGCGTGTCTCTGATACAACGTCACGCAGATATAAACGGACACCTGACCATGGAAAGTATCCAGGGTGTCGGGAGCACATGGAGTCACCCGTCACCTGCTGTGAGGCTGGCCCGGGGCAGCGCTGTGGACCTCCGAGTGAGCCGTGGGCTGAACTGGGAGAGCAGGAGTGGTCGTGGGCCCTGCCAGCAGACTTTCTGTTTCATTGTTTTTCTTGTCCTAAAGGGAGGGACTTCTCTCCACGTTTAATTGCACTGCATAACTTGAGAACAGAGATCCAGTTGCAAACTCCCTGAGCAGTGGGGCCCACCCCCCTGACAGCTTTTCCCACATCGCCCCGACTCCCTGTCCTGCTGACTGAGCACCAGACAAGACCCCCAAGTTGTGTGTAGGGTCCATTTTGTGCAAAAATATGAATTATCTTGAAACTCTGGAATCACACTCGGTGTGCAAGGAGCTCCTGCGTGAAAGGCTCATGGAGCGTGAGATGGACTGGATGGGGGACCCCAATTCAGGTCACTGAGACAAACAGTCTCGGGATGGATGGTAGTTTCTGTCACCCCCACAATTTAACGGGCACTTCATCTTCTCTCCCGCTCAGCCCCTCCCATTCTCTCCCGCTAACCACATCACCTCTTCTGTTTAAATGTCCTTCACTCCTGCTAGAACAGGAGTTAGCAAACTGGGGCTCTTTGAGAAAACTTGGCCCACCAACTGTCTTTGTATAGTCCAAGAGCTAAGAATAATCTTCACACTTTTAAATGGCTGCATTTTAAATAGGTATTCATTATAATATCCTAGATTTTGCCTCTTGGCTCACTAAGCCTAGAATATTTACTATCCACCCCTTTAAGAAAAAGTCTGCTGGACTCCAGGAGAGCCTGAGGGTGCTAGCGTGCTATCCATCACCGTGTTCCTAGACCTGGCACAGCATGGGACACATGCTGAGGCCGCAAGTCCAAATTCCACTTCCATGTTGCCAACGCGTGCACATCTGCCCTCGTGTGGTGATCAGATGAAATTGCAGACACGTGGCCCTGGGGCCTTCGGAAAGGCTGGGGGACCGCGTTAACTTTCGATTTTGTGCGCACACATTTCTTGAGCACCAAACCCTGCTATTCTGACAGTGAATTTCTTGGGGCTTAATTCCCTCCTTAAAGAAATAGGAATGATACAACTCTATCATTGTGGGTTGTTGTGAAGGGGAAATAGTGTCATGGCTTATGACAGTATGTGACAAACTGCAATAGAGGCTGAAGACGGGCCCAGAGCTGGTGCCCAGCCAACAGTGGCTATGCCAGTCACCTCCACAGCTGGCCTCATGGGTGAGAGTGTAGAAATGTCCCCACATGTGCTTAAGGACGAGCACAGGGCCAGTTTGCATGCAGCCCCTTCATAACCACAGACCTCCTTTGCTTTCTGACTCCCCCAGCCCACTCTGCCCTGCCAGGGAGAAGTGACGGGGCCCATACCCCCCTTGCTTCCTTATCACATGCCTGAGGCTGTGGGTCCATGTCCGCAGGAGTTCTGGCCTCTGGGAACCGCTGTGGGCATGGGAAGCCTGGGCCTTGGTGGTTCCTTACCTGATAAACTGAAGTTGGACTGGTGGAGGTTCCTGATGGGTGGAGGCTGGTGTTTGTTAGGCGAGGACTTGGCGGAAGGAGCAGGAGTTGCATATTTGGGTGTAGCTGGCACCTCGTACACAGGGCCGTCATACATGCCCCTGGGAACTCCTTGCAACCCAGAAACCTAAACAGGGGGGTGGGGTGGGAGAGAGAGATTGATCAACAAAAAGCAGGTGTGTCTTTCCGTACAGACGGGCCAGAGCCCTGCAGAGGGACAGTGACCTGAGGGCCTCAGGGATAAAGACACACACATGCACACACATGGATGCATACACACCGCATACATACAACAAATCACCCACATATGTGCATATGCATGTGCACATAGAATTCACAATGCACGTACTCATACACTCACATGCACACAGGCATACACATGCACACCACAATGCACTCACCCCACATACATGCGTGCACACATACACATATCACACATCCATATACAATCCAGCACACGTGTGCACACACATATAAAGACATACACTCAGAGCTTCATGCAGGACTCCAAAGCAATTTCCAAGAGGAAAACACTGTCCCTGAGACTCCGCACAGTCCCCCTCAAAGGCCACTGAATCAGAGACCCACTGCATCAAAAGGTCCGTCCTCATCTACGTTCTTGCAGAAGTTGACCCGAGACAAGGATTTGAGAGTAGGTAGTTTGTTTGGGAGGTGATTCCAGAAAGGGGGAGGGAGAGAGAAAAGGAGAAAACCCACCACAGAAGGGGATGTGGGCCACCTCTGAGGGCAGCTGGCTCAGGGAAACAGTGAGCGGGGAGCGAACCTCGGCACCGACCCTCGAGAGGGCAGGGCTGTGGATCCAGCCTTGGTCCCCACAGGTTGAGGGCTGCCCTGGGGACAGAGAGAGCCCTGAGGCAGAGAAGCTGAAAGCCAGGGGCTTGAGGTGGGAGGCTGTGAGCCTGCTGGAAACTGCCTGCTGCAGAACAGGTGAGCTCAGAGATGGACAGGTGAGCTTGGAGATGGACAGGTGAGCTTGGAGATGGACAGGTGAGCTCGGAGATGGACAGGTGAGCTCGGAGATGGACAGGTGAGCTTGGAGATGGACAGGTGAGCTCAGAGATGGACAGGTGAGCTCAGAGATGGCCAAGGAGTGTGGGCATCTGCCCCAGGCCCTGGGAGGACAGCATGTGTCCAGGGACGTGTGCAGTTTCCACTGTGAGTCAGCGACAGTGCCCCAACCACAGCCTTGGGCTCCCTCCTCTGCAGCAGGGGTTCCCATTTTTAGCACCAAATCAAGGTCCCCACACATCATGGTGACAGCCCTCCCTCTGTCCCCAGGGGCCCTGCTCCCCTGACTGCCTGGGTCTGGCTGGCTTTTTGTCCCACTCCTCTCAGTACCTGCTTCCTGCACCTCTGGGGTCCCCCTTGGAGCGCCTCAGTTCTAACCCCATCCTGTCTCCCCACCTCCTAGTGCCCTTCCATGACCTCCTCTGAGCTCAGCTCAGGCAGAGACAGGTTCTCTCCCTCACCTGGCCTCGCTCCTGGCCTCTGCCCCGAGGGATATGGGGAGGGAGCGCCTTGTGCTGGGGGATCCAGGCTTCTCACTGCTGCAAATGATGGCCTGGCACTGGGGTCAGGCCCCGCTGCTTACAGACCCGACTGTTAACCACAGGGCTCAGGGTCAAACCGCCCTGGAGGGAATGAAGCCAGCCAAGGAGCGTTTCTGTCCCCTCGGTGGGTGTCCCAGCCAGGAATTTACGAGTCCATTTTCTCTCAAGCAGCCTGCTGTGGTCACTCAGCCACCTTGGCTATCCCTAGCCATGTCTTGCCTCTGACTTGCCTATTCTGCATGTCTGTCCTGTCCCCATCTGATGCATAACATCTGTGCAACTTGGTATCTTTGACCTGGGGTGCTACATCTTATGGGAGATGGAAAGGGACCACAGACAGACACAGAGCATCGTAATGTGGGCCTGGGAGTCTGGGAATGCCAGGAGGTCTCTGGACTTTTCCATCGGAATTGGTGGGACCATACACAGGTGGGCATGTGTGCATGCACACACATGTTCATATATACATATATACATGCACATACACACACATGCATGCACACATACATGCATGCACATACACACACAAGCCGGCCTTTCTGGCAAACATCAGCCATTTAGTGTGGAAAGTAGGCTGTCATGGTGACGGGAGGGACTCGCTTAGGGAAGACAATGGACCACAGTAGGAGTTTATCGAGAGCGTGAGGAAGCCTCCTCCTCTGAGCTGGACTGGAGACGGGACTGAGCCTGCTCCACGCCCTCTGATCGGGCCTCGAGTCCGTGCTAAGACTCTTCAAGGTGAAGAGGAAGGAAAGGCGTGGCACGGAAAGGGAGGGCGGGGAAGGAGAAAAGGGGGCAGATCTGAAGGGCGTCTACGTGCAGTTCTGCCATCCTCGAGCTTGTTTATCTTTACCCAAAGGGCAGTGCCTAAGGGTTCCAGAGCTTTCCCAGCCTTGTGATGCTGGCCAGTCCACTGCTTCGAGCACCAGGGATCCGATCTGCAGGAGGGTCACGACACCTCAAAGAGGAGGTGATGAAGAACCCAGATGATGCAGGACGCACACCCCAAAGCAGCTCGGTCAGCGTTACTCTCGCCACCCCTCCCATCCTCACGTGTGCACACCTCTCTACAGTTTGCAAAGCCCAGGACCTCCATGGTCCAGCCTGGATCTCACTCCAGCCTGAGACGCAGGCAGGGCCGAGTCCCTCCTCCTTGGACACATGAGGACCGGGAGGGTCACGTGCCTATGACATCTGTTAACTGCCCACGACAACCCCTGGCCCACGCACCTTGCTCCTGATCCTGACGCGCTGGTAGAGGTACTCCGGGAAGGGCTTCCGCGGGATGAAGCGGCCCATGCCCTTGTTGACGTTGATGTTGCCGTCCTCAAAGACGATCTTGCCCTGGCTGATGACCACCAGCGGGGAGCCGTGGCACTCCATGCCTTCAAAGATGTTGTACTCCACAGCCTGCACGGCAGGACCACAGCTGTACCTCGCTAGGCTTTCTGCACGAGCCACATCATTCCTAACCGAGACCCTGCTTAACGTCATTTCACAGGCCTTTTCCAAGGTGTTTCTCTCTGAAGGCACCTTGTTCAGGACTGTGTAATATTCCATTTTATGCTCTTTCATTTGCAGGTCCAATCCCCTGCTGTCAGGCATTTAGGTCAAGGGGGTTTTATGTCATCAAACCAATATTGTCTGAGGTGTCATGAATGTGAAGGGGGCCCTGGAGTCAGGCAACATGGCTGCTCAGACTATAATGGACATTTTTGTGTTTTAAAAAAAATATTTTTAGTCTAGTTTTCTGAAATTTAGTTACTGGGTCAGAGGTTATGAGCTTTTTAAGGCACTCATGCAGACTAACAAATTATCTCCAAAGGCATCAGACCAACAGACACTCCACGGGCAACAGGGAGAGAAACCCTTCCTGACTTTGTGTCTATGACGTCCCCTCCAGTGCCGGCTAAGGCCATTTTTATTGTTCATTCCCTTTTTTTGCTAATTTGAAAGACAAAACATGTCCTTAAAAATAAGCATTCCTTTTGTTTCTCCTAAAGTAAATATAACCAACACTAGCCAACTGCTTTTTACTTTTTATTTTTAAGCTAGGTCTTGTATATGGTAAAAAAAAAATAAATAAACAGAACAAAAGATGTTTGATTTTTTAAAAAGTAGGTCTCTCGTCTGCCTCAGAGAGAAAACTGCCTGGAGCAGATTCTTCTGTGGCCCAGAGACTTCCTGTGCGTGAATAATCATCACACACACTAGGAGCCCCGACACGGGCAGTTTGCACTGTAACGTCTCTCCTTACCGTGGCGGTGGCTCCAGCTCAGCACACGCACGTGGTTCAAAGCGCTTTTAACATTCTTTAAACCGCCATCGTGATTCCGTTACGGGGTCTACTGCCACTCATTTATCCGGTTCCCAGGGACAAACAATTGGTCATTTTCCTGCTTTCGCTAAAAATCATCCTGAAACACACTTGTGTATGTCCACGCCGTGATGTGTGGACGTCTTTCTGGATGTGGAGTTTGGGGCCAAAGAGTAAATGGATTTTAACTTTGAGAGATGTGGCCCCCCCAAAAGGAGGTACCAGTCTCCAGTCCCAAGAAAACCCTAGGAGCTCGCCTGCTGCCCACAGTCTGACACACCCGCGTCCTGTTAAAGCCCCGCGCTCCGTCACTGGCACAGGTGAAAAATGGCATCTTATCGCTGTGATTTATATTTGGTTCGTATAAGTGAGATTGGGTCTGTTTTTGTTTTGTTTTTTGTTTTTGAGGAAGATTAGCCCTGAGCTAACATCTGCCAATCCTCCTCTTTTTGCTGAGGAAGACTGGCCCTGAGCTAACATCCATGCCCATCTTCCTCCACTTCATATGTGGGACGCCTGCCACAGCATGGCTTGACAAGTGGTGTGTAGGTGCACACCCGGGATCTGAACCAGTGAACTCCGGGCTGCCGAAGTGGAGCTTCCAAACTTAACCACTGCTCCACCGGGCCAGCCCCTGGGTTTGTTTCTAAATGAATGTAAACCATCTGTATATTTCTTCTTGGTAACAGTTTGCATTTTTGCACACTGTTCTATTTATTTAGTTCTTGGTATCTTTCTTAGCGTTCTCCAAGGATACAGTCAACGTTAAGGAATTTATCCCTGCGTTTGCTCTGTGTGTTGTAAACCCTTGCTCTGTCTGTCCTGTGCCTTTTGATCTCATCTAAGGTAATAATTAGTATTAATTTTTGCCATCCAGAGGAGTTTTTTTGTTTAATTCGTATGTAGTCAATGGTCAAACAGACTAATTTTCTAAGTTTTGTGTCTAGCTTAGAAATGTCTTCTGCTCTTCAAAATTATCATTTTTAAAAGTGAGTTTTACTCTAGTCCTTTCATAACTTCATTTTATTTCAATTTCCAATTCCTTTTGAATTTGGTTTGTGGTAAAGAGTGTGGCAGAGGTCTCGCCCCACGAGCGGGTGTCCTCGCACAGTTGCTTGGGTGGCTCTCTTTGTCCACCTGATTGTAACCGTCTCCTTTATCATAAACCAAACCCTCTGACGTGGGCGTCTCTTCCCTGCTCTCCACTCCCCGCACCCAGGCCAGACTGTCTCACCCCCTGCAGCTTCACAGTATGTCTAATAACCGGGATGGTTAGCGCTCCCTCCCTAGTTTTCTCTTTTTTCCCAAATATTCTCACACTTACCACATGGGAACTCTGCTTTTCTAGTTAAAGAAAACAATTCTGTTGAATTTTCTGATAAAATTACGTCAACTTTATAGATTCAATTAGGAAGAATTGATAGGCTCACCCTACTGAATCTTTTTAGTGTAAAACACTTTGTATTTGTTTTTGCATTTGTTTTTGTTGCTGTTAGAAACAGGATTTTGATTCCCATTGTTTTTCAAAGTGCTTTTTATTATTTCGTATAAAAGTTAGGCCTCTTTATATTGGTTTGTAGTCAGTCAATGGATTCTCTCATTGATTTTGATGGTTTAGGGGTGTCGTCGGGGGTCAGGGGAACCATCAGACCTTCCACCAAGAGCTGGTAACACGGCACCGGGCTCTGAGTCTGCAGCGGCCTCCCAGGACCAGGCAGACAGGCTGCTCTCAGCTTTAACGTGTCCTAAACTAATTCCTTGAGTCACCCTGAAGTGACCCTGCCAGGCAGTAATTTACAATTCTGCTGGAGCCCAAAGGGGTGACTGTGAATGCTGAAACACGGAGCAAGAAGCCAGTCACTCCCCTACAGTCGGAACTGGCCAGCCCCACACAGACAGCCCAGGGGGTGTGTCTCTCTTCTTGGTGGAAGGACACGACACGTGGTATTCCTCAAGTGGGGAATTCTTAGGAGGCTCGGGTTGTATTACCCACAAATGTGACATTCTATGTCTCACAACTACACAGAGTTTTAAAAGTTAATTGTTTCATTTCTTAAAGTAATAGATGAACAAGGTAAAAATTCAAACAGTGCAAAAGACCGTGATAAAACAACCATCGTCATATCATCTCTCCCATCCATGAGCCTGGTTCTCTAGTCTCCCTCCCAGGAAGCAACGAGTGCTCCTTGTCTCTTTCACATCCTATAAAGGATGGCCTGACAGCAATGGGTGGATAAACACGGTGTATGTTTCCATCAGGAATGGACAGATGTGGTCGTCCGTGCAATGGGATATGATCCAGCCACGACAAGCACTGAACTGCTGACACACCCCAGAGCGTGGATGAGCCTCAAAATCATGATGCTCGGTGAAAGAAGCCAGACACAGAGGGCCATGTGCTGGGTGATCCCGTGTATGTGCTGTGTCCAGGATAAACAAATCCGGAGAGAAAGAAAGGAGGTTTGGGGTGGACGGGGCTGGGGAAGGAGGGGTGCGGCTGACTGCTAGCGGGTTTTGGGCTTCTTTCTGGGGAATGAAAATGTTCTGAAACTAGTAGTGGTGATTGTACACCCTTCTGAATATACTAAAAACCACCGCACTGGACATTTTAAAATGGTGAAATTTATGGTATGTGAATTATATCTCAATATAAGGAGTTAAACCAGGTAGGCTATAGATACACAAACATGTATGTATATGTATAGCATAGCACTTAGAGGCAAATATGTTTTCCACTAAGACATGAAAGGAAAAAAGTTGTGTTCTTTTCCCAGAAAAATAGATTTAAAGTTTTGATCACTGATCAATATATAAGAAATGATCTCTTTTTAAGTGTTAAAGAAAAGTAATTTTTTTTTTTGAGGAAGATTAACCCTGAGCTAACATCTGCCACCAATCCTCCTCTTTTTGCTGAGGAAGACTGGCCCTGAGCTAACATTCATGCCCATTTTCCTCCATTTTATATGTGAGATGCCTGCCACAGCATGGCTTGCCAAGCAGTGCCATGTCCACACCCAGGATCTGAGCTGGCGAACCCCGGGCCGCCGAAGCGGAACGTGCGCACTTAACCACTGCGCCACCAGGCCAGCCTGAAAAGTAATGTCTTTAAAACTTAAATAAAACCACCCTTAATACAGCATTTTTTCAATCCCTGCTCTGAGAAATGTTAGTCTCCTGCACTGTGTGAATGGCATCACTTGGACAGGGGAAATGGAACAGATGAAAATCCTTTGGCCAGACTGTCTCGCGGCGTCCTGAATTGTCCTCTTGTGGCTATGAAAAGAACTCAATTCTGGCTCAGCGGGAGGATGCTGCTTCAAGTTTAAGCAACCTGAAACAATCACCTCCCACATGGGTCACCTCAGGCACAGGACTTATTATTATGGGTTGAATTATGTCCCCAAAAAAGACATGTTAATGTCTTAACCCCCAGCACTCCAGAATGTGACCTTATTTGGAGTTAGGGTCATTGCAGATGTAACTAGTCAAGAAGAGGTCACACTGGAGTAGGGTGAACCCTGAATCTGATGACTGGTGCCCTTGTAAGAAGAGGAGAGGACACAGGGAGAAGGCCAGACGTTGGGCGACACATCGACAAGCCCAGGAGCATCAAGGAGGGCCAGTGACGCCAGAAGCTCGGAGAGAGGCAAGGAACGATTCTCCTCGAGGCTTCGGGGGAGTGTGGCCCTGCCAACACCTTGATCTCAGACTGCCGGCCTCCAGAACCATGAGAAAATAAATTTCTGTTGTGCTAAGCCCCCAGTTTGTGGTCTTTGTTATGCAGCCGCAGGGCACTAACACACTTCTCTCTCTGTTCTTATTTATTAATAACAATATACCTAATGTAGAAGGTTACTGTGAGCATTAAGTGAGATGACACATGGAAAATGCCAAGCATAAAGTATACAAAACGCTATTTAGCTGGACTATGAAAATAATTGGACTCCCCACTCCTGAGCACAGAACCCGCACATGACCTGATCGTGCACTGAAATCATAAGAGATGGCCGTCTGCGTGTGCCCGCTCAGCCTCCTTGCCCTGCCCCCTCTCCCTTTCGGGTCCTCGGCCTGAGGCCCTTTAATAGCTGGTCCAGGCTGCACCCTCCTCTCTGGACTGTGCTCACCTTGTGAGCCAAGGGCCAGCCCGAAGCCGCACGGCGGTGGTGGCGCCCTCCCTCCCACCTGCAAGACCTTCTCAAACGTTCTCTCACCAGGACACCTTCCCCGACACCACAAGGGAGCGAGTGCCTCTCCTGCGTTCCCAGACTCGACACTGTGTGCACACACATGACCGCACTCGTGGTAGTTAAGATGGAATCGTGTGCCTGCTGGGCGGTCAGTGTGGAGAACGGCGCGCACCTTTCTCCGGGGGGGCAACCTCAGGCCTGTTTCCTCCTGACCCTGTTCCCAGGGATGGGGGCAAGGGAAGCCAACGTGTCACTAGGGACTGGTTATTGTAAGCATGACCCCTGGGTGGTGAGCAGGACAAGACCCCTGCGTGCACATGCCGTGCCTCTTGTTGCCAAGCAGGGACCTGCGGGCCACACTCATGAGCTGCTACGAGGGGTTCTTATTACTTTCTTATGAGACTTCCTTGTGCTCGGGGTCCTGTCCCCACACGTGTGGTCTCGCCCCTAGTGACTCCTGGGCGGGCTGGGAAATGGCACCCGTGGGGCTGGGAGGACTCCCACCACAGGGCGATGCTGTGTGCACACGCTCTGCCTTCCAGCCCATCTCCTGTAACAGCCTTTAGTGAGCCAGGGACCAGGCTGTGGCCTCTTGTGTCTGTGAGCGTGGATGTTAACCTGGGCCCAAGATCACTGCTGGTCATGCGGAGTGGGTTTGAAGCCAGCCTTTATGGAGGGAGAGATGGCTTATGTCTCTGCTTCCTTAGGTTTCCTGGATGGGTGAAGAAGTCCAGGGCATGTGAAATACAGAGCGCGGAGATAACCCAACCACAGGCCCGGGGCTGCAGCACGGGAGGGCGGGCACCCTGGGGTGTGCTAAACACAGCGAACTCAAGGTCCAACCCTTTCCTCTGCCGGCTGCAAGCAGTGGACCACAACACGGTAGGAGGCTCCTGACATGTCAGATCAAACCCCTTGCTGCCTCATAACTAAATGGGAGAGAGAGTCTTGGACCTAATACCTGCCGTCTCTGAGCCAGAGAATGCAAGCATCTGTGGGCAGGCGCTACTGAGAGGAGAGAGACACTCACTCAAGAGCATAATGGCAGCTTAGCTGAGGCGGCCCAAACCCCATCTCTCCAACCAGAGGAGAAATCTGAACGACTGAGTCATCCAGGTATCAGATCACATCTTGGTTAGAAACGTCCTAAATCATTTTTAACCAGAGCCTTCTAAAACGATTGCAAAGCAAGAATCGCTCCCCCGAACCAGGAGTGTCACAGATAAACCAGGACTCACCGACTTGTGACTCTTCGCTGTTATGGTTTTCACCTTGTCGGGGTCCCAGATGACCACGTCGGCGTCCGAGCCCACGGCAATCCGCCCTTTTCTGGGGTAGAGGTTGAAGATCTTGGCTGCGTTGGTGCTGGTGACAGCGACAAACTGGTTCTCATCCATTTTGCCGGTAGCCTGAAGGCAAGATCCGCTGATGAGAAGAGCATCCCAGAATAGGGCCAGAGGGCTGACGGGCACCAATCTAAACTGCCACTGGAGTCCTTGCAAGGAGTCTGGAATTTTCTCCTCTCCCAGCTGAAGACAGGCTGTCCTGAAAGAGCACCGGGAGCCTGGCCTCGTCGGAGCAGAAACTGAATTAACTGCTCAGAGGTGTGCTGACCTTTGCACAGCCGCCACTGTGGCCTCTCGTCGGTTTCACTGGGCCCACGTTTAATAGGAAATAAAAACCTTTGGTTTCAAGTCAGTGATCAGAGTGGGACCTGGGGCTTCCCTACGCAACAGAATCCTCTGTACCCCCTTCAACCCCCAACCCAAGACACACACACACTCACACACACATGCTCACACTCAGACATATACACATTCTCAAACACATATACTCTAACTCACACACACACATACACTCTCACACACATACATACACACGTATACACACACACACAAGTACACTCACACAGACACATGCGCTCACACTCACACACACACATGCTCACACACACACGGTTTACAAAGTCATCTTTATAAGAACTGCAATGCAGTTAAAAACAAGACATTTTTTTCATCCTTAAAGAGTAAAGGACAGCTGTCACATTTGCAAATGCGGAGGCCGCTACAGAACTTGTGCGACTCTCTTAAGAGTCACACCTGTCCTCGTGTGCCCCCCTGGTGCGTTCTGCTCCTGTCTTGAAGTAAGAAATGAAGGAGGTTTAATTACCAGCAGTGCATAATACACTGGCTTTTGACAGGTCAGGTGGGGTGCTTCTAGAATGTTCTTGTGGGGAGAGACGGGGTGCCCCTTACCACTGCCTTGTCCCAGACGACGGTCATCCGCTCCTCGATCCCGTTCACGCCCTCAGGGATCAGGGTGAAGTTATCCTTGCCGACCGCCTTCTGGGCAGTGCTGTAGGGACAGTGGCCACTGCCCGTGACCTGCAGGTCTCCACTGGCAGGATGAAAACAAGGTGGGGTACAGACCTGAGCTCATGTTGAACGGCAAACCCCAACTTCAGACACCCAATGCAGGCTGTGAACCCAAATCCCTGGAGAGATTCCGGGGAGAGGATTTGGGGGCACATCGTGGGCGTCAGTGAATGACGTCGGAAGGCCCTTTGGCCTTTGGTGTCTTGTTAAAAACTAGAAAGAGCCCTGGGCGTCAGAGAAGGTTCTGTGTCAGTGCAGGCTCAGGGTGGTCTGGGTGAGGCTCCCCAGGTGGACTCCTCTTCCTCACCTGGAAGCCCGGGGACCGACCGGAAGAGGGACCAGGCTCTCCTGCCCTCAGATGCTCAGATCCCTGGACAGCGAGCTCTGCTCTTTACCTCCTGGAACACCCACGTGCCCCAGGATGCTGTGGGCAGGGCCTCTCTGTGCTGAGAAACGAGCTGGGAGAGCAGAAGCTGCTGGAGGCCAACGGGGTGACTCTACTCCGTGCATCTCCTGGAATATCCCTGAGCAGCCTCACTCTGATGAGATCTGGCTTTGCAAATCTAACTGCCTGCTGTTAAAGCCTGGCTCTGCCACCTCCTGTCTGGGCAAGTCGATCCTCTTTCCTTCATGTGTGAAACGGAGGAGAATGGACCCTTCCATCCAGGGTCATCAGGAGGACCAAATGAGCTACTTCCGGGACTCACCCAGCACAGCAGGCAGCAAAAATGCTAACTCCCTTCCTCTCTCTCCTCCATCCCTCTGCCTCTTCTCTTTACAATTGAGTGCTGTGAATTTTACCTCAACGTTTGAAAAAAGAAGAAAAAGAATTGAGTGCAGCCCATAAATGAATGGATGGATGGATGGCTAAATGAATGAATGAATGAATATATAAATAAGTGAGTAAAATGCACAGCTCCAGCGTATGCCCACGTGTCTCACAGTCAGGCGTTCATGCTGGAAGGGCGCTCACATCCCCGGCCTCGTGCTTCTGCAAGTTCACCGAGTTCACCAAGGCTGTTGGTGTGAGACTTGGCTGGTGTCTGTGTGCTGCGCTTACATGACAAAATGCTATTCATTTGTTGTAGCAAAGTGACACAACTTCCCTGGGTTTGCTTTTTCGTCCCTCTGGCTTTGGAGAGAAGACACCCCATGGCTCTATGACAAGCCCTGGACTGGGCGTCTGAGCCCGTGAATGAGGGGAGCGCTATGCTGTGCTCATCCGTGCAGGAGAGCCAGCCTCCAATCGGAGCCCCAGGGCACATTAGCGATCATCTAGATGTACGGAAATGTATTTAAATGGGATATTCACTCATCTAGCCAACAAAGGTGTGCTGCAGACTTCCTGCCTGGCATGATTTTAGGCCATGGGGATACATCTATGAACGGAAAGAGACAACATTCCTGCGTTCATGAGCTGACATTTGAGTGAGGGATGGGGAGTCAGGGACACACAGCATGTCATGGGAAGGAGTGTGGGGACTGAAATCCAGCGAGGGGGGGCGAGGAGCGCTGGGGAAGACTGGGGCCGCCATTTCAAAGAGAGTGTGCAGGAATCTCTCATTGAGAAGGAATCTCCCAGCAAAGGTCTGGAGGCGGCAAAGGAGCAAACACATGATGTCCAAGAAAAGAGAGTGTGAGGCAAGGGCATGCAGCAGAGCAGAGCCCAGGGCCCCTTAGCGAACCCCGAATTCCAGGCCTTTCACCTACGCCGTCCCATAACCGGCTCTGTGGTAGGTACTATATTCTCCGCACTGTGCCAATGAGTAAACTGAGGCAGAGACATTACAGGTTATGTGACACAGCCAACTCGTGGTTGAGGCGGGATTTGAATCCTGGTCTCTCGTTCCTGATCCTGGGCGATTCCCAACACACCACATGGCACGGCACACGGGAGGTGGTCCAGAAATGTGAATGGAGCAGTGACTGAACAGACAGACCCTCAGGTCCCCGAAGGCCTGTTGTAAACGGTCTGCAGCTTTGTCCTCCCAGAGGCCCCAGCCCAAGGCCTCGTCCACAAGTGCATCTACACCAGGCCGGTTTCCCGCCCTCAGCCCTGGGCCCCAAAGGCCCCGCCCTCCGGCTCTCACCAGGCCAGCAGGGAGGTCAAGTGGTCCGGCGTGGTGGGGTCCGGGCTCAGCGGAGGGGAGGTCACGAAGGCCGCCGCCTTGGCCCAGTTCTTGCTCCAGTAGTGGGTGCCGTCGGTCCCCAGGCTGGCAGCGATGGGCTCACCAAAAACAAGGGGCCCTTGGGGGCAGACACAAACACGCGTGGTTAAGAGCAAATGGTCTCCCGTGAGAGATGCTGACACACAAAAGTACAGGATCTCAGAGGCCGGAGAACGGGACTGGCCAAAGGCGACAAGTCATCTATCCTTCTCCCAGGCTTCACCACACATACCCCGGAGACCCGCAGCCACGGGGTACAGTTAGGCGTCGATTAATGATGGGGACACATCCCGAGAAACGTGTCATTAAGCAATTTCATCGTTGTCGAGCATCATAGTGTACTTACACAAACTTGCACAAACCTAGATGGCATAGCCTACTGCACACGTGGGCTCAGTGGCACTGATCTCATGGGACCACTGTTGTCTACACGGCCTGTCGTTGACCCAAATGTCGTTATGAGGCATGCGACCGCACTCAGCCCCCAGCTGACCTGCTTGCCAGGCTTTGGATTCTTACTGCTTTTAGTATTTGGATATAAACATTATGCCCTTTTATGTGTAAACTGAGGCACAGAGACATGATCTGTGTCTTAGTTTGGGTTCTACCAGAAGCAGAACTTCAAATAAGGAATCGAGTTCAAGTGTTACACGTGGGAGGTGATTCCAGGACACACTGGCTGGGGATTGAGGAAGTGACACAAGGGAGAGAAAGAAGCCAAGAAAAGGTGAGTTGTCACCGAGTCTCAGCCATGGGCACCTGCAGCTCAGTGCCGCTGGGACCTCTGGGAGACTGTGGGGCCGCAGAGCCGTCCCACCCCTTGGCGAGGGAGCCGCTGATCTGTGCATCCACCGACCCACTGCTTCCCGAGCCATCACTTTCCAGAAGTCCCAGCTTGCTCTCCAGGGAGTGGGGCAGACATGCTGCTGCCAGAAGGAAAGCCCACGGGCAGAGTCTCCAGGAAGAATCTTCCCAGGCAGGGACACATGCCAGGGGGATATGGGCTGACAGCACTGCAGCCTTTCCCCGAGGCCACCCTGCTGGGCAGCCCCAGAAAGAGGGCGGGCGGGACCCCAGAGCTGATGCAGCCCCGCCTCCGTCGCTAACTTGATGTGAAAACCCCAGGAGAGAACTTGAAAATGTATGTTCTCATCTGACCCCACAAGGTGAGGTCTTACCCTAACTACAAATGAGGAAACTGAGGCTCAGACACAACTTACCCAAGGTCGCACAGCGGGCGCATGGCACCCCAGGAGTCAAACCTAAAACCGCCCGGACATCTTGTGTTCTGCCCGCCATCCCATCTCCCTTCTCAAAATGTGCTGGGGGTCCCTGGGGCTCAGGCTGCCAGCAACTGGCCGATGTCTCTGTGCTGGGCGGGGGCCCCGTCAGTGAACTTGAACCTGGTAGACACCTTCTTCCTCAGGACCCAGCTGCCCTGCAGGAGACTGGGCCCTGGGCTGCGTACCTTTCTTCCTGGCCAGGGTGATGATGTCAGCTGCACTCTTGCTCATCACCTTGGTGATGTACACAGGGCAGTTGATCCGGCCCGCGATGGTGATGGCCCGGAACACGGCCTCGGCCTCCAGCTGGGGACACGGCAAATATACAGGTCACAGGAGGAAGGGGCGGGGGCACCACCCACCCTGAGTTCCCCGGGCTCTCCCTGAATCAGCGTCCTTTGATTTTCCTTAATTAAATGTGGTCAGAGGGAAATCTACTGCATCAAAAGAGGAAAACATGGTAGATTTAAAAAACGAAGAAAAAGTTAAGTCAAAGTGTCTTTGGCTAGAGGGTTGGAAGGCAGAATTATGTTGTTATGCTCTCCTGGAAGCATTCTGCACAGCCTGGTGGAAGATCCCTTCCCTCGAGGAGACAGACTAGGCAGAACCAGGCATCAACAGGCACCAGCACTGTCCCAATATTTATAAAAAGCCTGACGTCCGTGAACGCCCGTGTCCCACAGGCATCCTCCATTCGTTCATTCCATAACCACGTGAAACTGCCTGCTGTCTGGTTTGCTCTCTGCCCCTCCAACCAGTGCTTCTCGAACAAAAGGACCGGCTATGTTTTGTATTGTTTTCTTTTTCATTTCCAGGCTAGCGATGCACCAAAGGTGGTCCTCCTGCTGGTGACCGGCACACAGCCCGAGCTGCAGGCCACACGCTCCGCGAGTCCCACTCTGCTCTCCAGGTGAACCCCCTGCTCACACGCCTGGGCGCAGCAGCAATGTCCACGTGCTACAGAGGTTTGGGAACACGGTCTCCAGGTCTGTCCCGGCCTCAGCAGGGAGCAGGGACGCAGCTTGTGGGCCGTGGAGCTCACGTGTGGAGCACTGGGCTAAGTCAAGGGCCCCCCGGGGTAAGGAGCTTAGCTACTCATGTGCTGTGTCCTGAGTCCAGCACAGGGCCAGGCCCAGAGCGGAGGTCTGGGGAGACTGTTGGTTTGATCAAGACATCAGAAAAGAGCCTCAACTCAGAGAATGGCTTCTAGGGCACCCATCTCTTTCAAGTCCAGTCTGCTTGCCTTCCTCTGCGCCCCTCTCACACACTCACACACACACACTCAAACCCCGCCACTCCAGGAGTAATTTGTCCACTCTCAAGTCTTAGAACACAGTGGGCAGCGTGCAGGGGACAGCTGTTCTGGTGGCATGAGGCCTGGGACATGTGCCTCCACTTTCCTATCATCCAACAGGGAAGTCCTGGGTAAGGATCCTCATCCAGAGTGGACACTGAGGTGTCTGCGGGGCCTTGGTGTGAAGGTCCTGGGGTCTGGCAGAAGCAGAGTCTCTGCTCGGCTCCTCTGATTGACCTGTAGCCCCCAGGGCTCCCGAGTCAGAGGGCAGACCCCAGGGAGAGCCACATGTGCTGGGATGCTGGTGTAGGGGCTGGGATGGAGACAGGGGAACAGCTGGGCCGTCCAGCTGGAACAGCGTCGGGTGAGCTCTCGGCGACATCCACCTCACCCTGGGGAAGGTCCTTTACCTCCTCAGGTCTGCTCAGAGCGTGGCCCTCGGGACCCGTGATGCCCATCTCTAAGATCCGCTTTTGTTCCTACGAGACAAGAACAATGACTGCAGAATGTCAGAGCTGGGGGAGGCCCATCTTCCCATGCCCTGGTTAGCCAGAGGGAGCAGCTGGGGCCGGAAGGGGGAGTGGTTTGCACGGGGTCTGCCTCGGGCTGGGGGTGACCCGGGCTTCTCTGCTCCCTCCGCTCCGCCTGTCTGCCTCCCCCTTTGCAACCCGGATATCTACATCCACAGCTGCTCTCTATTCAATCCCCGGGACCAGAGAGAGGAAGCAGGGTGATGAGAAATGAGCCTCAAAGACCAGCCACCGCCCTCCAGCCTCCGGGTCTCTGCTGTAGGGCTCTCCTTCGGGGAGAAAAGGGGAGTTTGGGTATTGCATGGATGTGGAAATCAAAGAGCCCCAAACTGGGAGTCCAGCTCCAGAACTGACCATCTTGTGACTCTGGCCAAGCTGGCCAAGCTCTTGGAGCCTCAGTCTTCTCTTCTCTACAATGGGAACAACAGCGCCTGCATCCCAGAGTTACTATCCTGAATCAGCGGGGTAGTGTATGTAAAACGCTTACACAGTACCTGGTGGATAGTAAAAGTCATTCACTGGCAGCCAGCTCTCATGACCTCTCCTGGGGTTCCCTCTTGCTGGTGCCTGTCTTTCTAGCAGGAAACCTCCACCGCAAGCTCACCACGTAACCTGGAAATGGTCCCCTGAGCTAACGGCCCAGATTCAAATCCATTTGCTCTGAGGTTTTCTCTCCCTAAGAACACTTTAATATCCCAAAAATATTTTTTTTGCGTGGCCCAGATGTCAGCTGTGCTGCTGCTAATTTTAACTTCTGCAGTTTCTATGTCATTGTTCTCGGACATGTCCCTACCGTGCGCCCCGGGCCCCACCAACGAAAAACCTCACCATCTCCACTGTGCATCTCTGGTTATTAAGCCTGAGTTTATTATAGGAAGATAAACTGGAAACAGTTTCAAAGTCTAACAGCTGGGACGGACTTAAGTAAACAATGGAATAATCTCAGCTATTGAAGACAGTGTTTACAAGGCACTTTTCTAAACTGTTTATAAGAAGATTTTATGATATGGAGAGATCCCTGTGCAAGATTGTTTAAATGTCAGAGGCTATTTCTGTTGGAAGGAAGGCAGGAAGGGAGGATGGAAGATGACACAATGGGAGGAAAACACAGATCACAAAAATAATAGAGTGGAGTTTCTAGTTAAAGATCATGGGCTGAGCGCACACATTATTTTCGCTCTGTTCTGAAATTCCACTAAAGTGACAGAAAAGATACACAAGAACCAAGAGAATACAGAGAAGACAACAGGTGAAAAATTCTGGAAGCTGGAAAGCAGCTGTACAACAGGTAACAGATTTACTGGAGTGAGAAAGCCAAATCTTGAGTTGGCAGTGGAGAAAGCTAAGAAGACCCCGATGAAAGCTTAAGAACTGAGGGCTCCAAACTTCTCTCTCCCGCACGGGTGGTGGGAATAGGAGGTGGTACATTCTGGAAGACCGTTCAGCAGCAGCTGCTAAAGCTGAACGCACACATGCCCACCACCAGTAATTCCACTCTTCAGCACAGGCTGACGGAAATGCGAACATACGGTTAACAAAAGACTGAACAAGAATGTTCGCAGAAGCTTTATACACAACAGCCCCAAATTTGAAACAATCCAAAATACCCATCAACTGGAGAATAAACTGTGACATACTCGGCAGTGGAATTCTATACTGCAATGAAAAAGAAAAACCTATCGCTTCATGTACCAATAGGGACGAACCTCACAGACCTAGTACTGAACAAAACAAGACAGACACACACATACTGTATGGTTTATGAAGTTCAAAACCAGGAAAAATTAAGATATGTGCAGTAGACAACTTCTAAGAGGCCCCAGTGAGCCCCCTCCTGGTTTTCCTGTCCTTGTGTCATCCCCACCCCTTGCACGTGGGCTGGACCTAGCACCCTGCTCCTAATGAGCAGAACACGACAAAAGAGATGGGATGTCACTTCTGAGATTAGGTCACAGAAAGACTCTGGCTTCCATCTTGCTCACCCTCTCACTCTTTCACCTGTTCTCTTGGAAGGAAGTCAGCTGCCCTCTTGGAGCTGCCCACATGGCAAGGAAGTAACGGGGCCTCTGGCCAACAGCCAGCAAAGAACAGAGGCCATTAGTCTGATAGCTTGCAAGGAACTGAATCCTGAAAACGACCACCTGGGTGAGGCTGGCAGTGAGTCCTGCCCCCACCCAGCCTTGAGATGCATCCTGCCTGACACCTTCACTGCAGCCTGTGAGAGACCGTGGGCCAAGGGACCCAGCTAAGCCACACCTGGACTCCTGACCCATGGGACCACGAGACAGTAAACATTTATTGTTTTAAGATGCTAAGTTGTGCGGTAATTTGTTATGCAGCCACAGATAACCAATACAGATTATGGTACCCAGAAGTCGGGTGTTACCATAACAATTACTGAAAACATGGGACTGGTTTTGGAACCAGGCAGTGAGGAGAGGCTGGAAGAATTTCACGGAGCATGTTGGAGGAAGTCTAAACTAGCCTTGGATGGACAGTTAGCAGAAATACGGATTTTGAAGGCTCAAAAGGAAATGGGGGTCATGTCATTGGAAGCTGGAGCCTGCTATGTAGTAGCAGGAAGCCCGGCAACACTGCCATCTGCGGTTACGTGGCCAGCAGGATGCAGCCCCAGTGAACTGGGGGATGCAGCTGAGGAGACTTCCCAGCAAACTCTTGAAGGTTCTGCCTCATTTCTTCTTGCTGCTTATAGTAAAATGTGAGAGGGGAGGGATAATTGAGGGAAGGAACGTGAAACAAAAAGGAACAAGGACGTGACGGTTTTGAAAATTCTCAGCCTCTCCAAAGAGTAAAACATAGTAAAAAGTAAGAAGTGGCTCTGAGCAAACCTCAAATCCAGGCCATTGCCAGAGGAACTGTAGTCTAGTGATAAAATGAAGGGTGTGACACCCAACCTTTCGTCAAGAACTCGGAAAGACAGAGTGGTGCCTCCAAGCATCATTCAGTCCCCCCAAAAAAGGCCCTTCAAGAGACTGAGGGTGTCCCCATAGATGCTCTCAAGCAAGGGCTCAAGGGCTCGTCCCTCAGCTCTCGGGCAGGGTGCAGGAGGGCTTACCTGGAAGAAATCTGTGGGGGTCTTTCGTCTAATGGAGTGAACCCCAATGAGAGTCACAGGAGGCCCCCAAAGGTTTTGGGAGAGTTACCTTAGCAAAACACTGGACTGAATGGGACAAAGACATGCAAAACAGAAGGAGGCATTTGGGCCCCCCAAATTCTACTGGGCAGGCTGAGAAAACTACTCAGCTGCAAGCACGTGCTACCTTTCATGAAAGAGGATGGATGACTCGGAGGATGGAACCAAGAGCCCAGAAAGTGGAGCCAAGAGCCATGGAGAATTATTCTTAGGCATCAAGACCTAATCACAGAACTGTCAACATTTGTCCGAATGGGATTCAGAACTGCTGTGGACCAATGGATCCGGTGCCTGCCATTCTCCCTTTCTGAATAGGAACGCCCACCCCACCACTGTGCTGTCTGTTGAGTGTGCAGAGGGCAGATGACTTGCCTCATTAACTTCACAGGCATACAGACTGTAGGGACCACACGCGAGGAGCCTCGCCCACGCCTAGACCTGACTGAGGTGATTCCAGACTTTCCCGCTGCAATGAGATAGAACTTGGAGGACCCTGGAAGGGGACGAATGTGTTCTGCATGTGAGAGGGACGCCAATCATTGGGGCCCAGAGGACAGACTGGCAGACAACCTCTGACATGGCTCCCAGGGATCCTCACTTCCTGGCAGGCACACCCTTGTCCAACCCCTTCTTTCCAGCAGTGGGCTGGACGTAGGGACTTGCTCCCAGTGAACCGAAGCTTGCTGCGTGATGGAACTGAAGCACTGTCAGTTTGGTTTTTTCTCTGAATTTGAAAGACTATCAATTTTACAAAAGAACTGTTAAGGACACAAATTATAGGAAGTAAAGCCAATAGCTGAACCTTAGCAGTGAAGCTTCAGATCTCATGCACTTAACCATCATGCACTTAACCATCATGTGCAATTCCACTGGGATGTGGAACTAGATGGAACTGCATTAACATCCCAGCTCTGCTGCCCCATGTAACATGAGCAAGTTACTAACAGCTGAGCCTCAGTTTCCCGATCTATAAAATGGGGATAATTAATCCCCACCGTGGAGTAGTCATGAACATCAACAAACAAAGTCCTTAGCGTCATGCCTGGTGTCAGATCTTTCATTGGACGCATCCAGATCTTCTCCTACATGCCCGATCTTGGTTTGTGCATCATGATCAACCCGTGCCTCCACACCAGAGATGTGGCAGCCGTTCTTGACTTCCTCCTCTTCTTCCCCGCCCCAATCCATCGCTGAGTCCTGTGGACTGAGGTCCTTCCCTATCATACTCTTGCCTCTTCCACCTCCTCTTTCTAGCTCCTCTCTTCATTTCCTATGAGAATCGCTGGAGTGATACCTAGCAGGTCACCCTGACTATTCTTTTCCTATAAAATTCTCCACCCTACAGCCAGAACGATCAAAATGGGTTCATGTCTCACTCCATCCAAAACTTTTGCGCGGCTACAACCTATTATGTGTCAGACATTGAACCTCACAGACATGCTATCGTTTAATCCTCACAACAACACAGCAGGGTAGGTGTTTCTGGAAGAAGAACGACGGCCTTCGCAGGATCGAGTTCCTTGCCCAAGGCCACAGGGCTGGGAGATGGAGGAGGCTGGGCTGGAGGAGGCTGGGCTGGAGGAGGCTGAGATGGAGGAGGCTGGGCTGGAGGAGGCTGAGATGGAGGAGGCTGGGCTGGAGTGCCTGCCCCGAGCTGTGCTCTGTCCATTATCCCCACTCCCTAGTCCCATAAGACGATGAGCGGCACCAGCTTCCATGTGCATGGCCTCTGGTATCCCCCAGTTTGCGAAGCATTTTCATTCAGACCCTTATTTATCCCTCAGGCAAACCCTTTGAGGTTCACAGGTGGTTATGTTATCCTCATCATACAGGTGAAAAAACAGATTCAAGAGGCAATGTGGCCCGCCAAAGGCCACACTCCAGATGGTGTGGGCACAGCTCACACCTAGGTTGTCCGATATGCCATCCAGTTCTTGGCTTGACCCTTCGTTGCCTGGTCCCCTCACTAATCAACGCCTCCTTTTCTCATCCCTCACAAGGAGAAGCGGACTGAGCTGGAAGGGTGGACAGTCGCACCACTCACCTGAGCGATCAAGTCTCCATTTTCTGCGTGGACCAAGATCACCGCTCCCAGCCCCTTAAGGAAGGTGAAGGCTTCATATAGCTAAGGAGAGACCAGCGGGGATTGGGAGAGAGACAAACATCAGAGTGCGAGCGTCTGCGAAGACTGCTCTTCTGCTCACACACAGTCACCCACCCGCCGGCTGCTGCACACGCAGCACGGCCGCCCGGTCCACACCAACGGAACGCACTGCTCAGCGAGTGAGCCTGGAGACGGACCTTGCCTTGACCAGGACACCCTCCAGAGCGAAACCAGGAGGCTGGGGCCGGGGCAGAAGGATCCAAGTCCCGCCCCGGCACGATTATACCCTCCATCCCGGCACCTGCTTGCGCCTTCTGCTCTCTTCTTGGCCTTGCTCCAGCGGAGCACCTGTAGGTGTTGACGGTGACAACTGGTGTGGAGAAGCCATTTTAAGTTTTACTGAAATTGTGTAACTAAACCTGCAAAGCCTGTATGCGCCACCCACGCATCTCGGGAGATGTGTACATCTTTACAAAAATTTTAACCAGCGTCCTGTTATAGATCCCGCTATATAACTCTAACGCTCAGATAATATACACCCTGCCAACCGTCACCTTACCGAGCCACCTTGCCCGCTGCCCAAAGTCCTGTTCCCACCAGGGAGGGATCTGCAATCAGACATTTGCTCCTGGTAAGGACCCAAGCCACTGTGTCCCTTCTCCAGGGGCTCCCGAGTCTTAACAATGTGCTTCATGTGTGCAAGACGACAGCCTGTGATGTGTGCTTTCAGATGCAGGCGGCAGGTGGGGAGCCACCTGGAGGCGTGAAGCACGGTTGAGGACCGACCCCCGAAGTGGGCTCAAGTCCACCCAGAGCCCGGGCTTCGGAGCAGCAGAGGTTGAGATGAAATCGACGAGCGTCTCCATTGTGCTAGAAACCCAGGCTACCTTCCCCATGAAACTGAACCACCGTTCAGCTCTCTGAAAGCCTTTCGAGGACTGCACCAAAGGCTGCCAGGGCATCTTGGGGTGAGTCATTTTCTGGAACCCCAAGTGTTTATTTTGAAAGAGAAGACATGGAATACTCCTCCTGGTGCACATCAAACCCATGGGAACAGGAGCAACAGCACAGCAACACCCACACGGCACCCACTGCGTGCCCGGCCCTGTCCGAGAGCTTTACTTGTGTTAAGTCATTTAATCCACCAACCACCTCTATAAGGCAGGTGCTATGATGAAGCTCAAGCACAGAGAGGTTGGGAAAGCTGCCCCAGGCTGCAGAGCAAGGCCAGGGCCTGCAGGCCAAGCAGTCTGGCTCTAGCATCCAGGCCCTTTGTCACCATGCTGTGCCACCTTCACAACAAGAGGGGGCAGGGCAATGATAACAAAACAAACCCAGGACTCCCAGTGGGGTAAGAAAGCCAGGTGCCCGGTAAGGAGTAACCCCTACACCTGCACCGCCCAGAGAGCAGCATCTTCCCTGGCTCATTTCATCCACATAACAACTGTTTGAGGTTGGCAGGCCAGAGATGATTACATCCTCTAGACGAGAAATCTGAGAAAAAAGGTGACCTAGGAGTGGCTTGAGGGACAGCCAGGGCTCTCCTCCAGGGTCAGAGCTAATGAAACCATCCCCGACCTTGCTTGAGCCCCAGGACCACCTGCGGAGCTCCAGGAAGTCCAGATTCCTGTGTCCCGCCCCCGAGTGTCTGTGAGGGGATCTGAGAGGCCGTATTCTTAGTGAGCTCTTTAGGGGATGCTAAGGATGCATCGGGTTTGGGAACCACCATGCAAGGAATCGCCAGCTCCATCCCACTCTAGAAGCCAGAAAGGCATGCGGGCCCAGGGAGCGGCGATGGCCGACACAGGTCACCCTGCAATTTAGTGTCAGAACCAGGAGTCGAACCCAGAGCTCTCCACTGCCCGTTCTGACATCTCCCTGGCCCTGGGCCGCCTGGCCTGGCAAGGCTGGCCGATTCCTGCCCGGAGAGGAGGGGAGGTATGCTGGAGGACCTACCTGGCTGTCCGACATTTGGTAGAGGTCCTTATAGGCCATGTAGACTTGGAAGGAGTTGACGCCTGATCAAGATAGGAAAGAACAGAAAAGTGTGTTTAAGAAAAAAGGAACGTGTCTTTCCAGTCAATAGATGATCACAGTACAGAGCAGTAACCATGAGGATGGAAGGGCGCCCGCGGAATTCACAGCAGGAACCTCACCCAGCCTGGGGGCCTGGAGGAGGGGCAGAGGAGGCTTCCAGGGAAGGTCAGGTAAGCTGAATCTGAAGGAAGGGGTGGAGGAGGCAGGGCAGGGGGAGGGGACTACCCGGGCTGAGGGAGGGGTGTGCAGGAGCATGGACAGTAAGGAGGATGAAAGGACATCAGCTGTGCAGGAACTGGAAAGTGTCCTGGGGCTGAAGCAAAGGGCTCATGTGCTTTTTATTAATCCTCTGTAGTTTTTTTTATTAATGGTAAAGCATACACAACAAACTTCGCCATCATGACCATTTTACAGCATACAATCCAGTGGCATTTAGTGCATTCACAATGTTGTGCAGTCATCACCATGATCGAGTAGAGCATGTACTTTGAAAGCAAGGGAGTGACGTGATCAGACTTTTTTGTCTGAGAGAGACTATTCCGGAAGCAGTGTGGAGGATGGGTGTGCAGAACAGTGCGGAGAAATGGCAACAGGTAGGAGGATGCTGGAGGCAAAAGGGACAGGTGTGCTGAGGCTCTGAGCCAGGGTGGGGGCTGCAGGGATGAAGGGGGGGCGGGGATTCCAAAAGGCTGAAAGGACAGGACTTCAGGTACTTAATGTGCAGGGGTGGCAGGCCAGCAGGGAGCGGGGAGGTGCGGGGGCGGTGGGGGACTGCTCCCCAGTTCACCTTCAAACAGCTAGAGGACGGGCACCACACGGGACATGTTATTCCGTCCTGCACACCCGGAGCATGTGCTATGCAATCAACGTTTGTTGACGGAATCAGGAAACGTTTGGATAAGAAAAAGAATTTAAGGCAAAAGTATTCAGTGGGGTTGAGACTTCTTTCATATGAAGGAATAGTGAAAACAAACCAAAAGCCTTTTCTTGTGCAGCAAACTTTGGCAACAAAGAGCTGTCCTCTTAAAAGATCAAGGAAAATTAAAAGAAAAAATAATATTCAGAGATTAAAGTAAAGCTATCAGTCTCTCACTAATCACGTGTACTTATATAAAAATAACAGGACAATTAATTGACATTGTATTCCTTATAAAGGTAAACCTTTTTTTAAAATATAAAAACAAAAACTCAGTATGTAGGCGGAAGAAGTATCAATGGGTGAGGATAAGAGCACAGTGAGAGGTGAGGGCACAGCCTTCAATGCCTCATTACTTTTGAAAGGCGAGAAGAACAGACAACCAAGAAGGCTTCCGTGATGAGAAATTTTAAAAGAGGTAAGTGGAACTTCACCAGAAATGCGAAGGAAACAGTACAGATAAAAGCAGAAATAATGGTTTAGGAAACAGATGGTAGAAATTAATAACCCCTAGAACCGGTTCTGGGGGGGGGGTATAGATGGGGGTTAAAGTTATCTCAGATTAGAAGCTATCACAAAAAAATCGTGAGTGATTTGACTTGCAAATGGAAACCTTCTGTAAGTCAATTCTTAAAAACTCAAAATAAATAGCAAACAATCAACATGGTAAACATATCTGCAACAAATTTAGCAGAAGTTTAAAAAAAACTCTTATTTAAAAAACCCGACAGTGGTTCCTTTTCGGGGAGGAGGGGTTGTGGCTGCTCAGGGGCCCGGGGAATGTCTGGTGGGCAGCTGGCAAAGTCCTATTTCATGCCTGAGTGGAGTAAGCTCATAAATAATTCATAAAGCCACATTTTTGATTTGTGTGGTTTTTCTGTATCTGTTTTATTTTATGTTTAAAAAGATTAAAATAAAAGCGAAGAAGAAAAAAAACCAAAAGCAAACAGTATTTGGAGACAATTTAAGAAAAACAAATGGCTAACTAAAATATGTTGCCCACTGCTAGTGAATGCGCATCAAAATGAGTCTCTTTTACATAGCAAGTGACAGTGAAAATTGGCACAACCAATTTGCACCTGCTTAGAAAAACACTTAAGCAACACATATCAAGAGCTATAAATGTTCCCATATCTTTGGGCTGATAATGCTACTTCTAGCAGCAGAGCCTTGGGAAATACAGTAGGCCCTCATACTCACAAAACCTCCCAAATCCACATATGCATCACCACGGTTTTTCTCCAAGGAGGTTTCATGGAACACCCGTTCTGGAGGAGCGCATGGAACACCCGTTCTGGAGGAGCCCATGGAACACCCGTTCTGAAGGAGTGCATGGAACACCTGTTTTGGAGGAGCGCATGGAACACCCGTTCTGAATGCTCACATGGAACACCCGTTCTGGAGCAGCGCATGGAACACCCATTCTGGAGGAGTGCATGGAATACCCGTTCTGAAGGAGCGCATGGAATACCCGTTCTGAAGGAGCGCATGGAACACCTGTTCTGAAGGAGCGCATGGAACACCCGTTCTGAAGGAGCGCATGGAACACCCGTTCTGGAGGAGCGCATGGAACACCCGTTCTGGAGGAGCGCATGGAACACCCGTTCTGAAGGAGCGCATGGAACACCCGTTCTGGAGGAGCGCATGGAACACCCGTTCTGGAGGAGCGCATGGAACACCTACTGGGTTGTCAACTCCTTCCTAATAGCCTCCAGCTCTCAGAACTTTCTCACATTCTCTAGCAACTACCCTCTTCCCTATGTACCAGGTAACCTTGGAAGCAGCCATGTTCACACCTGGGGCCCCAGATCACAGATGGCTAGTCCAGGGCTGGGCACCTGGCTGATGCCAGGCTGAGCCAGGAGGAGGGAGTGAGTCCAACTGACACCAAAGGACGACTGGCTGGTCTCTGAAACAGATGCCCACCAGACAAAGCGTGGGCTGTTGCATCCCACCGTAGGGACTATGGCAGTCGAGAATGCGGGTCAGGGTGAGAGGGGAGAAGAGGGCTGGCTCAAAGAGAAAACTTAGGTGAACATGAGGAAGATGCCTGGCATGGGATCCTTGGGACTCATCTCTGAGGCAAATCTGCTTTTAGCTTCAGCCGAGCCCTGGAGGGATTCTGTTTTTCGCAATCAAACCCAAGGATGTTGATCTCTATATCAACAGGAGTGCTGAGAAGATGAAGAGAAACTGGATTCATCAACAATAAACAGGTTTCTTTACTGCACGGGCTTCTCACAGGCGTTCACATGATAATGTGCATTAAGGATATTCACGAAGAGAATAAACAGGGAGCATTTCCCAAACTTACTAGACCCCAGAAGCCCTTTTTCATGGAATATTTATTTTCTCACGCATCAAATATTTACTGAGTACTTACTATGTGCAAGGATCATTCTACAAGCTAGAGATACAGCTGTGAACAAGGTAGGAAGGAGCCCTGTCTACATCCTGGTGGGAATATTCAATAAGCAAACAAGTAAGATCATTTCATGTACAGATAGGAGCCAGGAAGACATTAAACAGGCTGCTAAGTTTTTTAAAGTTTCACAAAATTTCTGCAGCAACTCCCATCAAGAGATAGCCTCTTTCCCCACTCGTTGAAGGGGGGCTGGTCTTGAGACTTGCTCTGACTGACAGAACGACGCAGAAGTGATGTGTACAAGCTCCACGCCTCGGCCTATAGTGCTGGCAGGTTCTCTCTCACCCTCTTGGAACCACCATGGGGAGAAGCTCACCACAGCCTGCTGGAGAACAGATCATGGAAAGAGCCATCCTGGCTGTCCCAGCCATTCCAGCTGAGGCCCAAGGCACGAACGAGCCAGGGCGTGAGCAGCAGAAGCGCCCAGCTGAGCCCACACCCAAGTGCCTCTCCCCAGAGCTGTGAGCAAATAAACAACTGCTGGTTTTTCTTAGTGGTGGTCAAATACACATCACGTAAAATCTGCCATCTTAACCATTTTTAAGTGTACAGGTCAGTGGCATTAAGTACTTTCACATTGCTGTGCAACCGTCACCACCATCCGTCTCCGGAAGTTCATCATCTTGCAAAACCGAAACTCTGTCCCCATTAAACACTAATTCATTCCCCACTCCTGAGCCCCTGGCAGCTACCGTTCTACTGTCTCTACAGCAATCTAACTACTCCAGGACCTCACATGAGCGGTGGCATACAGTATTTGTCCTGTGTGACCGGCTTATTTCCCTCAGCATGATGTCCTCAAGGTTCACCCGTGTTGTAGCACGTGTCAGAGTCTCCTTCTTTTTAAAGCCGAATACTCTTCCCTTGTACAGATATACCACATTTTGTATGTCCACTCACCCGTCAATGAACATTTGGGCTATTTCCACCTTGTGGCTGTTGTGACTAACGCTGCTGTGAACGTGGTCCACACATATCTCTTCAAGTCTCTACTTTAAATTCTTCTGGGTCCACACCCAGAGAGGAACGCTGGGTCATATGGTAGCTCTATTCTTAATTTTTTGAGGACCTCTATTCTGTTTTCCTTAGCAGCTGCACCATTTTACATTCCCACCAGCAAGGCACAAGGGTTCTGATTTCTCCACATCCCAGCCAACACATTATTTTCTGGGTTTTTGATAGCAGCCATCATAATGGGTGTGAGGTTATAGCTCATTGTAGTTTTAACAGTTGCTGTTTTAAGCCACTAGGTTTTGGAATGGTCTGTTATAAAGCAAAGACTCAATGATGCAGAAATTAGTGCCTGCAGGTCTGGCGCTGCAGTAGCCCAACCCTAAAACCTGTGGCACTGGCTTTGGGACAGGGTGTTACAGGCTCTTGACATCAGTCCTGATATCAGTTCCCCCACATTGAACCCAGCGTATATGGGGTTAAAACTAAAACCCACCACCCCCTTTCCTGCTTCTCTAGCTCCCTCATATGTAAATACCTGTTTTTTTTAAACTTGGACTCCTTGAGCTTTACAACTAAATGGGAGTTACAAATTGTTAAAAGCCCAAATGGCCTGGTGTTGGAGGCACACTAAAGGTTAGCTAATCACGTGTCCTTGAAGTTTGCCAGGAAAGCCGCTGTCTCAAGAA